AGTGTAAATAAGAATAAGGCTCCCAATTTCTATGCACACTTTTGTTTTCAATTACACTTAAATTTGTTTCAGCTTTAAAATGAAGCTTGAACTGATGCCAGGGGGTTTTTATTCATGAATCCCAACACATTCCAGATTAGCTGTGAACAACAGTTACTCGTTTCCATTCTCAGCCTGCCGCTTTTAAAAGGACACAGAAGAGAAGCTCAGATTTAGGGTTTGGTTTAATGCAGAGGACCTGATCTCTCGCAATGAGCGCAGGTGCTTCTGTATTGAAGCATTAATCAACCGAAGTCCCATATGGCCATTTTATTACGTTGGTATGGCAAGCAGTCAGCTGTGGGGTTTCTTCAGAAGCTCATGAGGTCACTCCACCTCTTTAAAGCAAAACTAATGACTCTCCAGCAAATAGTAAGAGTTGGCAGCTGTGATGTTGAGATGATGTAATTGTACACAGCAGTGATGGGAGGTTTTCCTTGGTTCCTAGAAGCCAATATTGCAGAGGGAATCATAATAACAACAGTAATTGCTTACAATTTCTGGACAAGAAAGGAGAGCAATTTTCTTGCAAGAACAAACAGTGATCATAGATTGAAAGGTCAGAAACTGGCTGTCAGAATTGGAAGTGGTTAGGGCCAGCATCTGGCACTGACAGAGCAAGGTAGCAAAGAGCTGACTATTTCCCCTGTGCTAACACGTATCTTCATACTCTGAGCACCCTGGGCTACTTCCCTCCCCACACCTCCCCTGTTAACAGCTGGTTATCTGCTTAGTTTTGCCATGGGAAAAATGATGCTATGGAATTCTTTACTACGAGTAGGCTCCCCTAGAGTAAATATATGTCACTGTATACCTTGGCAAAACGGGATGGACACTTCACACTGAACCAGTGACTCAAAGAACTGGCTTTCTTGGGCTTACTGGTGTTGGTGAATTTACTGAAAGCAGCTACTAAAAAAAAGAGCCATGTTTCTTTTTACAGCTAAAAAGAAGGGACTGAAAGGACCGTGCAGGGTCAACTAGACAGGGTCTTGGGCAACACTGTTTAGTGTGAGGTATCCTTGTCCATGACAGGGGGTTGGAACTGGATGATCTTAAGGTCCTTTCCAACCCAAACCATTCTATGATTTGATGAATATCTGATCACCTTAGCTCTGGGAGGCTCCAGGCATTTTGCATCCTTTAGTACCCTCATCCTTCTTTACTTCTTAGGCTTGACACACATGGAGAATGCCGTTTAACTGAAAGGGGTAATGCCTGTAAGAAAATGCTGGGCCACACGAGTGTGGCTGAACTACTTTTGCAACATGGCCCATTCCACTACAGCTCCTAATTACTGCTGCACAGATGCTGCTGTTTGTAAGTGGGAGAAGCAGGCACTGTGCACCTCCCCTGTGAGCTTCCTGCTCTGCGCTGCTGGTGGAGTCTGATTTTGGAGTAGTTAGAGATGGACTCGGCAACCTGGCAAACACAAAGACAAACACAGGGGTTACTTTACTAACCCTTAATGAAGGAACCAGGAAATGAGTGTATTTTCTGCAATGATTTGAGTGGCAAATCATGTCTGTCAGTGGGTCACTGTCTCTCATTGGCTTTTGTGAGGGCAAAACATCATGTGGGTATACATAATTCTGGTCACTCTAAACCCTGGATCTACAGGGACTGAAAGGTGTGCCTTAGGCTGTCCAAGTGGTAAAACCCCTCCATCTGAAACAAGGCTGGGGTGTGACCTTCCAGTAAGATTTAATATCACAGGGAACAAATAAGCACTGTAGAAGGGGAGAAAGAAAGGCTGGCAAACTTTAGGAAGAACTGGATTCATTAGAAAGCTTTTATTTTGTTTAAAATCTGTGATGTTATCTGTAAATGATGGTATGAATGCTCCTACTTGTTTCAAATTTGCTTTGAGTTGCTTTTAGATTTTGTGTGATTTTTTTCCCCCCAACATTAAAGTTAGCTTAATGAGTGCTAAAGTTATCACTAATTACTGCAGAATTACTGAAACGCAGATAATGGAATTACTAAGAGGAAAAGGAAACTCAAAAACTTTTGGGTTTGGTTTAGTTTCATTGCCATGGACAGTTAGCATTTCTGATAAAGGAGGTCTGCTTAAGATTCAGGTTTGCTCCTTTTGGTTGCTTTACCCAGAGTCTTGGGAGACATGGTCTAGTGTGAGGTGCCCCTGCCCATGGTAGGTGGGTTGGAACTGAGTGATCTTAAGGTCCTTTCCAACCCAAACCCTTCTGTGATTCTATGATGCAGCTGCTGCACTGGCTTTCAGTTTTGGTGGGACTATTCTGGCCAAAATCTCTACTCTTTCTGTTTGAAAACCTTGGCTGAAGAGAAGCTTTCACTGCCTGATGTCCCTGTTCCCCTTTCTGCGCCAGGCTCTGCTGTGTTTCCCGATGTGGCAGGACCTGGTGTCCATAGCTGCCCCCACCTTCTCTTCAAGGGCAGAACACAGCAGGAGATTCTGGTTCAGACAGAAGACATGCAAACTATTCAGAGGGCAAAGCAATATCTTTGCATAATCCAAATTATTTCAGTCTCATTATTCTAACCAATTTTACCATTAACACAAGTAGTTATCCCCAAAATTGAGCAAAGCCAATGGATGTGATAGGCTGGGTTGAGAACCTCCCCTTGACTCTAGTATTTCCCATTTCCACTCCAGCCTGTCATGCAGATGGGGCACGGCAGCACCTCTCCCTTCAGAAGGGGAAAATCCAAAGTTCACATTAGCTGTGCTCTTGAGATTACTAAACAAAGAGTGCTGGGGAACCCCAATATATGTAGATATTTCATGTTAGAGATCAGGACACTCACAACTACATCACTGTCCCACATAAACAGAAGTAAGAGTTATGTGGGTTGCTGACCAGTGTATATTTTCCACGGAATCATAACTATAGATTCGTTTACTGTCACTGCTAAGTGATTCTGTGATGAACCAGATTCACTGAGCAAACACAGCCTTCACCAGACCTCAAAGTGTCTGAATAGTGCCAGCCTGGGCACATGCAATCACAGGCATGGGGCTGGGACTCACAGAACCCCCTGCAAGGTCCACCTGTGGGGAGAAGGCTGCATCAGATGTGGCTTCACATCACAGGCACCTACAGAGATCTCTTGCACACCAGTTCCCATACAGGTTGTGTGAACAAGAAGATACTGCCCTGATACCATAGGACTTGCAAAATAGTGAGTACCAACCACTAAAGCATCATCTAAAAGAGAAGCACCATTCCACATACATTTATTCTACCAAAACATGACTAATCCATTTTATTTAGAATGATAGACTGGTTTGGGCTGGAAGGGAACTTAAGATCATCCAGTTCCAACCCCAGCCACAGGCAGGGACACCTTCCACTAAAGCAGGTTGTTCCCAGCCCCATCCAACCTGGCCTTGAACACTGCCAGGGATGGGGCAGCCACAGCTTCTTTTGGCAACCTGTTCCAGTGCCTCAGCACCCTCAGTAAAGAACTTCTTCCTTATATCTAACCTAAACTTCCCCCGTTTCAGTTTGAACCCATAGCCCTTTGTCCTATCACCAGAGTCCCTGATGAAGAGCTTCCAGAAGTCTCCTGCCTCTGAAGGCCCATGACTGCAGGCATTTTGTAAAGGGCCAGGCTTGTGCACTTCTTACTGCCCAGCACAAAGCACAGAGCACGCTGGCACGTGCCTGTCCTGGGGCACACACAAAGGGAGCCCACACTCCTAACCTGAGCCTGTGGACACTCGAGTCCTTTTCCAGACTCGAGCTGCTCAGGAAAGCTTGCCCATTACTTCACAAGCTAAATCAAATGAATGAATACACCTCACAGTTGCTTTCCTCCACTTTCCCTCCCCACCACAGAGACTCCTGAGCTGGCACAGGCCAGGGTCATTCCACTGAGGTCAATGGAATGATGCCCATTTATATCAGCTGATGATTTAAACCTCTGACTCTCTACACGTATTTCTTTTCCACCACGGCTGGATATAAAGCAGTGTCCAGAACATATGGAGGTGAAAACACCCACAGCTGGTTTAAACTCCCTCTTGCAGCTGCATCACAACAGTAACAGTGTTTTGCAGAAACTACTTCAATGTAGACACGTCTGCAAAGGGAAGGAGAAAAGCCCAGCACATACATCAATGGTAAATAGGTACCAGCAAGCAGCAACAGCACAACTGGCACCAAGGTGAGGTTCCACCTACACCCCAGCCTTTCCAACTTTGCTTTTGTGCACAAGTAAGCACTAGAACAGCTACAAGGAAGGTTCAGCATGGGGAAGAGACTGTCTGAGGGGACCTTCCTTGTAAAGAGAAGCTACCCTTTGGAACACTCACGAGAACACTGTTGGCTGAGGTAACTGTGTAATGCTGCAGCATGTTTGGGGAGGAATTGCAGCTTGACTTCTGCAATGATTGTCTTATGCCCTCAAGCATGAGATTTTATTACCCTTATCTTGGCAGGCATGACATTTACTTATTGGCCACAGCCTCGCTGGAGAGAGGGAGGACTGGCTTGCTCCCATTCCTGACTGGGTGGCTGCTAAGCCAGCTGTCCCAAAAGTTGGAGGGGAAAGAGAGGATGTTGATGAGATCATGCCTCAGCCCATCTACTTCCAGCTGAAGTCACAATCTGAGAGGAAACAACCACCCAGGGAACCCAAGTGACCAGGGATCTGCTGCGTTTGGAAACCAGAGTCACCTGGCTGGGAAACAGCTGGGAGGGATGCTCCCACTACAAGGAGCCTTTCAAGGCACATTCTGAATCCCGTTTCTCAAAGGTGGAACTTCTGAAGTCTACAACAAACTGGGCAGTGCATCCTGGCCTGCTGCTCAATAAATGTGGCTTCAGCCACGTTTGAACGTGGAGCAATAGTGACATAAAGTGGCCTGATGGGTTAATCACAGGTGGAAGCATTTCACAGGAGACCAGGCAGTACCTTAGATTATCGTTCTAGCGCAGTGTGCTGTAAGAAAACCAAACTCCAGGTACTACCTTATTCTTTAGAGAAGGGACACCAGAGCCCTTCACATCTGGTAGTGGAAAACAGCACAGGTTCATCTGGGAGGAGGTATCTGAAACGCTGCCTGCTCCTTTCCATAGGCGAGGCTTGCAAAGCAAGTAAAAAAGCACAGGTATAATACACGTGAAAATGTGAAAGGCTCTGACAATATCACGTTCCACCCAGATGTCTGGTTCACTGAAAGGAAATGATACGGACAATAACAGCAAAAACTGTCTCATTTCAACCTGATAGCCAGCTGCCACCCTAGGGATCAGCGCATGTAAAGTGTATCTTCAGGGCAATGCGAACAAAAGGAGGGGAAACATAAAAAGAGCATTGAACTGTCTGACCCTCCTGTCAGCACCATCTGATCACTTGAAACTGTCTGCAAATATCCATCAATATCTCGATATTAGATGACATTATTAAATGGCAGCAGAGACATGCCAGTTTGTCACCACAGCCCTTCGCTGACTATTGTATCTCCATATGCTTATTATTTGTGTGGCTTTGAGTCTGATTCTTACAGGGATAGATTTGTCCCCAGGCGCCACACAGTCAGTGCACAAGCCAGAATGATCCCCATGACAATTAGGGTTTCCTTGGGATAATCGGACACACATTTTCTTAGTTAAGGACATCATAAGTATTAGATCTAATTACAAGGAAAGCCATGTACATTATAAAATGTGAATTAAGGTTTGCTTTATAGATTAAAAAGCAAATCAATATTTAGCAGTAACAGCCCACAAAATGCTTTCTGTAGTTACAATATGACACTGATTAGGAATTCAAGCTGGAATTATAAGTCTTGGATTTATTATCCAGTAAACTGATAGGTAAACACCTACCCCATTAAACCACCATTCTCTAAGTGTTTCCTCTGTGGTCATAAAAGATCAGAGCTGGGCCCTCAGTGGTTTCAGGACAGTTTGATGCAGGTAGTATCGCTTGTGTGTTAACGGCAGCACAAGAGTTCACTGGGGATGCTGTCATGGTCAGGACTATGTAATAAGTGGCAGTTGCAAAGCTTTGGAGAAGATTATTTTAGGGTGAATAAAATATTTCAGTATCTTTTGCTTGTCAAAGCTAAACTTGGTTTAATTCTTTACCAATTTGTACTGTATTATATATCTTTATAGGTAGCATACAGTACCATTGTGAGCATCTGCATAAGGAAGTGTATCTGACAGGTATCAAGTACACATGTTGTCAGAGATGCACCTTAAAGTGCTTGTTGTTTGCCTCTGGATAGCTCTAGAGTTAGAAAACCAAGTTAAAAGGGGCAGAAATAGAAATCACCCATGACTATTGTGACTTGTAACTAAACAGCAGAATTCTAATTGCAAACAACCAGATGTGGATCATAGAGAACCACTGAGAGAAGCAGAAAGTTTTGTTACTTTATTTTCCTCCTGAAATTTCCAAATTGGTAGGGGTTAAAACAGAAAAACAGAAAAAGAAAACTCAGTTTTTAGAGTTGGTTTTTTTTTTTTCCTTTTCTTTCTTTCCTTTTTTCCCCTGGAGAAGAAAGACTCTTATTCCTTTGTTACACAAAGACTCTTTCATTTCTTTCACTGCTTGGATCCTGAAGTGTTAAGCTAGTTACTCTGCTGTGCTATCTATTCACACTGTCGAGAATTCCCTAAAATAAATCCCATGTAAACAGGGTCCACAGGTCCTGAGGGTTGGAACTGGTATGTGTGGAGGAGAGTGACAGGAGTGAGCAGAGCTTTGAGGTGGATCTGCCTCCACTTTCTGTGCTAAGACTCAAAAAGCCAAGTTTGACTTCAGCAGCAACTGATAGTTTTCATAGTGAAAACTCAAGGCCAGTAGAAGATCATAGAATCATAGAATAGTTAGGGTTGGAAAGGACCTTAAGATCATTCAGTTCCAACCCCCCTGCCATGGGCAGGGACACCTCACACTAAACCATCTCACCCAAGGCTCTGTCCAACCTGGCCTTGAACGCTGCCAGGGATGGAGCATTCACAACCTCCCTGGGCAACCCATTCCAGTGCCTCACCACCCTCACAGGAAAGAATTTACTTCTTATATCCAATCTAAACTTCCCCTGTTTAAGTTTTAACCCATTACCCCTTGTCCTGTCACTACAGTCCCTGCTGAAGAGTCCCTCCCCAGCATCCCTATAGGCCCCCTTCAGATACTGGAAGGCTGCTATGAGGTCTCCATGCAGCCTTCTCTTCTCCAGGCTGAACAGCCCCAACTTCCTCAGCCTGTCTTCATACGGGAGGTGCTCCAGTCCCCTGAGGACCCAGAACCTCTGATACAAGAGTTGGAACTATAAATCTCTGTCTCTGACTCTTCCTCCTTGGCTTCAACAGCTTTTTCAGCTGCAGCAATGTGTGCCCCGCTGACTCTACAGACATTCCCCAGTCCCCTCTGCTCCTTCAGGGCCTGACTGAGCTCCCTGCTTCCTAGAGTATCCCCTCCTTCTCCCATCTATTCCTGTACCAATGTTTCTCTCTCTGAGTGTGCACCTGAGGACAACATGAGCAAATACAGTACATACCGTATGCCACAACATGCAAAGAGCTGGAGCTGTTCCAAAGAAAAGCATGAGAAGGAACAGGGCAAAAGGTCCTTTTGTTGTAAAAGCACTGAGACCAAGGCCGCGAAAAGTCATCTCCTTTTGATTACCACCTCAATTATAGAACATGGACATAAAGATGTGAGTGTGGAAAGATGTCTGACACCCTGGTCACGGGCAGATCTCTGCCAGAGAGGTCTGTCCAACAGAAAAGGACTTGATTTCAGGGGCTGTTCATCCACACACAAGCAAGCTGATCCCTCAAACACAAACCTGCAGAGAAGCTATTAAACAAGATAACTATACACACCACTGCAATGATCCGTAGCTTTGAAGACACAAACGGGTGGCATTTAGAGGCTTGACACAGCTTTGACTGTGAGAAATGATAACGTCACAGTGAAGGGGGAAAACCCCACATCTCCCTAACCAAAACCCATCCATTTTGTCCCGTTTCCTCAGCAGAACATCCCAAATACCTTGTTCGACATCGCAACAAGCCGAACTCCAAAGAGTTTGGACAGCAGAAATAATGACACAGGTTTAAGAAGGTAAAAAATCCTTCCTGCTCTTTGATTAACTGGGCTTCTTGATGGAGTTAAGTGCAAACAGCTGCCTGGACTTCAACTGCAAAGCCTAAATCTAAACACTCGCTGTTTACATAACCCAAACTTCTAATCAGGCAGCTGGATAATCCACCCATTTAAAGCATCCCAAAGAGTTCCAGGGAAATGTGATTTTCTTACAGCTAAGCCAATCAACAACCACTTTAAGGAACTCCAGCTACCAAGTTACTACTTTGGAACAGCAGTCTCAGCGGGATGGGGTCGCGACCCCGCAGGGAATCACAAAGCAGTTTTGGTGGGATCCTTCCCCCTTTCTATTCCCTTTTTCTTTCTCTCTTCTGTTTTTTCCCCTTTGAGAAGTACAAATCTGAGTCTTTCATTTCCTCTATATTCAGATGCTACAAGGTAATAAATGAGGGAAGGAGAAAAGCACCGAGCAGCGCTCACACGCATGCTGGCATTTGCTCACAGGACCTTAATCTAAAATCTCGTGGAATCCTGACCACATCCATCCCAAGGAACCTGGGAAAGGAAAAGTACAATCACCACCAACAGAGTCCATAATTCCTTAAGAGGGAAAGGGAAAGAGAAGCAGCTCCTTAAACTGACTTTAACTGGCCATAGTGCTCCGTGCATAGGGCCCTGTCTCATATCACAGTAGTGTTCTACTGCTATAACTCATTATAAGGTCAGGCTCTCAGTTTTATGTCTATGTTTGGCTGAAATACCTTCACCTTATTGCAGTTTATGATTACTTACCAGATATGCCAATGTTTGTCTTCCTTTTCCTTAGTAAAGTCCCTGTGCTAAATCACATCCGCTCACACCTGTTAAATGAGAGGCTGAACACAAACATGTTCCCTGGCCAATACCACAGTTAACAATCTGCTCGTCCACACAACCACTAACAATATATCTTGCGTTTCAACTACATTTGATGCATCCCTAAGAAAGGTGATGCTTCCTGGACTAAGCACAGAAATATGGGGTTTACTTCTGAGTCTACTGTTGAGCTAAAGGGTGACCCTGCTCAACTGCCTTGATACTTCTGCACCTCCATATCCCCACCTGTAAAAGGTGGCTGGAGATGTTTAGCTTTTAATTTGAGACACGGTAAAGCAAATGACTTAGTTTTAGTAATAAACCAAAATGCTCGAGATTGTAAGTTAAGCTCTATTTAAAACTAGTGAATTAAATTGAAAAGAAGAAAAAGATTTCACTTTCTCCTAGAAGAAAGTGATCCTTTTAGAACACATGGCAATCAAATAAAAGGACACGCTTTTAGGAAGAGCTGATACAATCTGGCCATAGAGGAAGTAAACGTCATTCAGTGTTTCCTCATTTTGCCAAGACCAGTAGAGATCCAGCACTGGAGATCCAACACTGGAGGAACAGCACTACATAACCCCTGTCAGATTATACGCCTAATATTGTAACTCCTAGCCAAAGAGGTTGGGGGACAAAGCTGAGAAAGAGCTTTTATTTTTCACTTTAAAGAACTGTTTATAGGAGTGCAATGTTGGAAGGAAGGTGGCAGATTTTAATTGGGATCTGAATGAACAGAGGAAAATATCCTGTGCTTTTCAGTGATAGGAGAGGTCCCTTTCAAATAACTTGAATGAGAGAAAAATGAGGAGCAGTAAAACCTTAGCTTAACTTTTTATTATTCAAGGTTTCCAAGATTTCCTCCTGCTTATGGATAGGTGTCCTTTCCACACAGAAGCCCCAACAAGAGCTCTTGCATTAATACCCACTAACTCCTGTGACTGGGTTAGAATCCCTGTAAAACACACTGCTTTTGAATTCCTCTATTGTCCTTACCCTATGATCTAACAGATAAGTGTCAGTGGACAGCAGTGAGAACAGAAATACTTGATTTGAGAGGAAAATTCCACATCCTTCACCTTCACACTAAGAAGCCAGCTGCCATATCTGCTCTGTTCTTAGCTCTGCCTGGTTCTTACTGGGAGTACACAGCAAACTATCTGCCCCCAGCTGTACTGCACAGCCCACTCTGACCTGCATCCCTAGCAGATTCCTATGCCTTTCTTAGGAGTCTATAGCTCCTTTCAGCTTTCCAGCTTCTTTCCACTCCTGTGGCTGATCAGCACAGGAAGTCTGGCAAAAAGAGAAGCAGAGTCCAGTGCTAACCCCAAGAGAACTGCCAAGTGATAGGAAATTGGAAGGCTATTTATAGAACACCAAAATAACTTCAGTTCCCTCCAGCTCTAATCCTCTTTTCCACCTTTAGGATGAGACCACCTCTATTTGGTTTTCAGAGTTTAAGGTTCCCATTTAATCATTTTTAAAAGGCCAAGGGAAAGGTTGGAAGAGCTTTGAGCTGCAGAAACAAAACCAGTCCATATTCTCTTTGCATAAGGCTTTACAGCTACATGCACTACAAGGGGAGCAAGAGGGTTGTAACTAAGTGTGGCATGGCAAGAGGTGACATCCAGCTCACAGACAAACACAGCATGAGCCTTTGCTGGGAGCACATCCTGCACTGAAGGCCCACAACACAAAGCAAGCGCATAGAGTCCAACACAACAGAGGATACCTCGAAGCTGCGGTCCCAACCTGGTTCCTCAGCCTCTACTCCATCGCCACTGGGTGCTACCCTTCAGCCACCGACCCTCCAGCAGCGCCATGAGGAAGCTCTGTAGTTATTACCATTACTGCAGTGTTTCCTCCTTTGCTGAACAGCACAAAGTACTTCCATGAAGAACACCTACAGCATTTGTGTCAAGTTTTCTTCTTGAACATCTTTTTAACTACGTGGCTTTTAGGATAAATGTCCCAATTAGGCAACTATTTATTTTCATTAAGAGTTCAGTTTGGCTTGTTTCCCAGCAGCTTCTGGACAGCTAAAATAATAGAAGGATTGTAATTCAGATAACTGTGTCCTGAAAAATAGATACATCTGCACTATTTGCCACTGAACAAGCACCAAGCCAAAATATTATCTGTCAATTTTGAGAAATAAAATAAAATATAACCAGTTTCAAGTGAAATACCCCTTCTACATCCACATCTTTCCATAGTCTCCATTTTCTGTATCCTCAAAATGCAAAGTTTTATAGCAAAATACAAACACAGCTTTTTCAGTAACAACTTTATCACATTAGACTCATGTAGCCATATACTTAGACTGCAATATACTCTCTGAGGAGTCATTTTTCAGTATCTTAGCTTGGTGGGACTCATCCACAAGCAGAACCTACCAGTCAGTCAGAACTTGTATGTGAAAATCTGAGTAACCAAGCTCATTCCAATGAGCTTCATTCATAGAATCATAGAATCACAGAATGGTTTGGGTTGGAAAGGACCTTAAGATCATCCAGTTCCAACCCCCCTGCCACGGGCAGGGACACCTCACACTAAACCATGTCACCCAAGGCTCTGTCCAACCTGACCTTGAACACCGCCAGAGATGGAGCATTCACAACACCCTTGGGCAACCCATGGGCAATCACATTTGCAGCAGTGTAGCCAGCTGAAATAATCATTGTTGCTATTGATACCATGGCTTCACTTTGGGTAACAAGTAGCTCAGAGCCCTGTAATGCCAGGAACAGTAAGGAAACAGCCAATATGAGCTCACTTAAATCTTTTCTTTATTTAAACTTAGAAAAGAGAATATGTAACAGTTACGTTAGTCTGTGTGTGAGAACACTAACCACAGTACTACTACAACTGTCCACTTGTATTCACCAGTATCCACTGAATGGTCTCATGGCAGGCAATGTAGTTTTGGGGTTTCTCCTTGTCCTGCTATTTCTTCGCTGTCTTAACCTTGGACAACAGATTTAACTTCTCCCTTGTCTGGTGAGCAATAACTGACCAAAAAAAGCCTATCTTGCTTATGCTTCTAACTAACTGCTGATGATGGCTAGCCCACTGTACACTAACCCACAAACAGCTCTAGTTAACACTGCAAACTTAGATGCCAATGTAAGGAGTAATAGTTCTGTCTGCAGAAAATGAGGTGCAGAATATCTGGGTGTTTTAAGACAGAAGCTTTCCAGCTCTCAAAGTGGCAGGCTCAGCCCTGCGAGCTAACATACAACCCTGCTGTGTGCCTACAGCTGCTTCAGCCCCTGCTAAATCAAGTTGTCCATACACAGCTCCAAACACTATTTAACTTCACCGTACATCTCTCTATTCACACCAGTGTGCAAAGAGCCCTCAGCCAGGGCTATGGGGCAGAACCAGATCCTATCTGTTCACCATCCACAGCTGCAATGCAAACACTGCTTGCATTCTGTAGGGGTTTCTAAGAGACCCCATTTGAAGTCTGAAAGTGATAAAGGGTAGTTATTCTGTATAGTTAACAATTTTCTACTGCAAACAATTACCTACCCAGCATCTGCTTATCTTGTTCAAAAAAAGAGAGGTTTTTAATGAAAAGATATGGCAAGAACCATATTTAAAGATTCAAACCTTGGAATTTCTTTCACAAGGTCTGCTTATAGAAACTGGAAGTCCATATTCTTCTCAAAGGATATTATAATTCTGTTGAATTGCAGGGATCTCTACTAAATGTTTGCCTGTGTTTCTGTGTAAGTGAAAAGAAAATCATAGGATCATAGAATGGTTTGGGTTGGGAAGGGCCTTAAAATCATCTAATTCCTCACAAAAGCAGCATTTTTAGGTCAAAAATACCATCAGACTATATCATATGTGCAACATGTCCATGATGGAGCATCCCAAGAAACTAGTCACAACCAGCAAAATGAAAACAGGAACAAGATTGCTATTTGATATGCCTAAGACTGGGGCTCCCAAAATAGGGAAAACCAGGTATCTCACAGGGATTCCAAGTTACGCTATCTACTACCCGAAAGGAGAACTAGCTACTGTCTGTCATCGGTGCGCTACTAACAGTGTATTAGTCTGCTGACATCTCCATCTAGAAAACCCTGGTAAATTGTCTCAGGATGAGAGGCAAGAGCGAGTGAAAAGGACTTGCTGTGATGTGGTGGTGG